AGACGAGAGTCAGTTCTCAGACGCAAAGCTGTATTCGATTCATGAATTTGGCGGGAATACAATACCATATTGCAATACAATATTTTATTATTTTAATTTTTTATTAATAGTACAAAGCTCAAAATCATTGTCATATATATTTGATATAACCTAATTTGACTTAGATCTCTACATGGACTTATTTTRAATGATTTAACAAGCATTCATGACTGYTGCTATTTTGACTTGTAGGTAARAAAGGGAGCCATCCAGATGACCCAGGCTACATACCAACTAATTTCCCATTTAAGAAAGAAACTGCACCAAGATCAAGTAAGAATTCAAGCAAGCCTTTGGTCATAACTATGGAAGCTACTGCAAGGCAAAGAACAAAGAAACCTAAACCCTTGTCTGCACAAAATGGCCAAAACCTGGGCCAAAAGAATGGTGGAAAAGATRTCATCCCACACCCAATTGGKCATGACTATATTCATACTGATGAAATGAAACTAACTAATGAGATGAAGAAACATTTACCAGAAATAGAAGAAAAGATGAAACTTCTGGAAGACTTGGAAGAAAAATGTGAAAACTACAAATCTAGAATTTTAGACTTGGATGAAATTAAAAAAAATGACAAGGAATTCCAATTATGGACTTCATTTCCAAATTATGRAACCTTTTATGCAGTGTTTGAATTTCTAGAGAAACGAGGAAAAGACCTTCAATATTGGAAAGGTAAAGTTACAACAAGTAGGGAACACTTTTCAAAATCAAAATCTACAAAGCCTGGTCCAGCTAGAAAGCTTTCACGCATTGATGAATTTTTCTTGACACTGGTGAGACTTAGAGGTGGCCTGCTAGTTGAAGACATGGCTAGACGGTTCAATGTTTCTACTGGAACTGTTTCATCTATTGTGACTTCATGGGTAAATTTAATGTACTCAGACCTGAAACTGCTATGTGAACTGCCATCAAGAAATGTCACAAGTACTAATCAGTCATCAGCTATTGGTTCTTTTACAGATGTCCATGTCATACTGGATTGTACTGAGCTCTTTGTGCAAAACCCAAGCAAGCTTGATGCACGCAAACAGTTTTTTTCTAACTATAAACATCACATCACTTACAAATTTCTTGTAGGAATCAGTCCTMAAATGGGTATCACATACGTAAGTCGAATGTATGGTGGTAGAGCATCAGATAAATTCATCACTTCTGATTCAGAAGACTTACTGAAGAACTTAGATGCAGACAAAGGATCTGTCATGGCTGATCGAGGTTTCTTAGTGCAAGG